AATTTGACATAGACATATTTACCAACATTTCTTTCATTAAGATACCAACTAATTTTGGTTGCCTACCAACTTTTAACGCTTGGTTTTGTTTAGTATCGACATTTCTTTATACTTCAAACATTGCTGACTATTTTATAAATCTATCAACATTTATTTTTGTGTTTTACCAAAGTTACTTCCTTTTATTGAAAATTGCCAATCTTAAATTGACCGATATACCAATATTTGTCGCATACCAAATAATTTTTCTCACTTGCCAACTTCTTATTTTACTAGGTCTCAAAGTACGAACATTTTTATAAACATTCAAATTACCAATCGGTTATTTGTTCCAGCTGTTTTCGACATCTACCAACCATATCAGCAAAAAAAACTGACACAGAAGAGGATTCTGAATTCGCACAGAATGCCAGACTTACGGCACAGAGACTCACTACTATTCTGCTTGGTTGCAGGAAATAATTGGAGTTTTCAACAAGAGTTGTATGATAAGTTACTCGGCCTATCGAAACATCTTCCCCATATGGGCTCTCGGAGAATACTACAACCGCGTGCTGCTCTTACCTTTCAACAAGAAATGAAGATCAGACAGACACATTGTGTATGATCTGCTTCAGCCCTTGATTAGTTGTAGCCCGTTGGGGGCTCATCCGCATCAGATGCATCTAACCATGCATATCTTCACCTCCCCAGAACAGTCCATCTTAAGTTGTGAAGATTATACACTCTTCATCGACCAAAAGAATAAGATGTACAATCAGCACAGTCCAGAATGGGCTAAAAACTATGGCTAAGAAGACAATGCAAGACTGATGTCAGATATTCTATCAATTATGGTGTTGCCTTATGCACGATAAACTGGTGTCGCAAACAAAATGCCATGGACTGTTCTCTATCCCGATCAGCACGTCGATGCATCATATTGGTTTCAGGAAGGCCACTTTCAACTAAAATGCAATTACAAGCCTAGCTGAGATGTGACTGACATTCTGTTCTACTGCCATGTCACATGAATATAACTTACCATTTTCAGGGCCTTCCTTTCATTCATTTTTCTGATTCCATGGAACCAATGAGGGGCAAGGCTTGATTAAAAGGATGGAAACAGAAAGAATCTTAAGTTCCACTAATCAAACAACCATAAACACCATGGTGAATTGGGGCCGGAAACTCAAAGCCGACCGAGCATCTCGCATATCAGTCGTCGCCTTTGGTGGTCAATCCCAGCCATTAAATCTTTGTTCCTCCCACCTTTTTTCCCTCCACTCTGCACATGGGCACCAACCCCCCAGCCCCAGGGGTGTGCAACCGGACCGGATTTACCCGGAAACCAGATCGGCCCACCCGAAAAACAGGTTTGGGAACCAATTCCCGTTTGGACCGGTCCGGGAACCGGTTTCATTTTTTGGGAACCGGTTAGAACCAGTCTGGTTTCTGGTTTCTGGTTCCAAGTGAAAATCCACCCGGACCGGTTTTATAACCGGTTTTATATGAAGGTCCACTTGCAATTTTATATGGCCAGAATTCAAAGCATTATATGAGGAAAGATGAGAGAGGTAATCATTATTTGCGTATAGTCTAACTCTAGGGTTTGTAAGCATTATATGGAGCAATTTCCTTTTTCTTAAAATTTTTATTCAGTAACGAAGAAACTACATATCCAACTGAAACATATGTTGTTTTATCATGTCCATTAAATTATTGGGATTAAGATAATATGCTTTTGTATGAATACTTAAGATTATTTGCACAATCAAACTTATAACCTTTGATTTTAGTTATAAGTTTTCCTATTTGCTACCTGAAAAAAATGAAACCAAAAAAAGAAAAAAAAATAGGTTCTTGGATAGACCCTGAAACCGGACCAAAAAAACAGGATAGTTTCCATTAAAATAGGATCCAAGGCAAACAGCGTAGGTTCTAGGTTCCAAAAATTAGGAACCGGTTATAACATGGTCGGTTTCTGGTTCCCGATCTAGAACTAACCCATATTGAAACCGATCACCCCTACTGATAAGCAAACCTCCAAAAACTCCGAGAAGAGAAAGAACCCCCGACGCCCGCCCGCCCGCGCCCCCCCCCACCAAAATTGGCCTTCGTCGTATTCGCAAGACTTCGTCATACGATTCGATGAAATACGCACATACGACTAGGACCCAACCAATGGACAGCTTGAAATAAATTTAACTCCTGCAGCCATGATCTTGTTTTCTCGATTGATGAGCAATGAAACCCACGTTTCGAAAAACCTTACAAACACATTTGCCAAGAAGCACGTGGAGGTTTGTCAGTATGCTGAATTTTAAAAAAAAGTTAATACCACGAAAAATCCCAAATTAGTACACCTGTGATAAATTTACCCCAAACTAATCTTTTAAACACAAAAAACCCCCAAATTGGTACACTTGTGAAATTTACCCCAAACTAATTGTCCGACCATAAAAAACCCAAACTGGTAAATTTGTGATAAATTTACCCTCCGTTAATTTCCATTAAATTGTATTAATATCACAAGAAACCACATACTGGTATACATGGGACAAACAGAAGGTAAAACCTCAAATTGGTACACCCGTCAACCGTCACATGTTATCTAACTCAGTAATTTGACTGCAAAACTTAACGGAAACTAAACAGAAACTAAGGGTAAATTTGTCGTAGGTGTATCAGTTTATGATTTTTTGTGGTCAAAAAAATTAATTTAAGGTAAATTTATCACAAACGTACTAATTTGAAGTTTTATGTGATTTTAACCCTTTAAAAAAATGTTGACTGGTTCCAATTTTTCATTCTTTGCTTCTGCTTCAAGGAGAAAATGCTTCAAGAATCTCCTGGCAGAGCATATATGTACCGCATAGGAGTTTCAACACGTGTTTCCCTGTTTTAAATGCTGCGGCAGTTGGCTGTTGATTTCTATGTTTTGAGGGTCTCGCAAGTCGCTTGGACATTGAGGTTACCATGAGCTTTGTGATGTTTGCAACCAAGCACTCCACTTGATGTTTTGGGTGTTTGAACTTCAGAGAGTTGAAATAGGGTGATCAAGCATGCCGTTTAGATGAGGTCAATCCACTATTGTATTTTTAACATTAGAGATTCAACCCGATTTCTATGTATAGTTTTCACCTAAAGAGATAACCTGATGATATCATGACAATAGTTGTAAAACGATTACGATGCAACGTGATCAAATTTTACAAATACTTAGAAGAGATCAATACCCATATTATGTTTCTTAACATGGCATTAAAGGCTGTATCCAATTTCTTTTCACCCTTTCCTCAATAGAGAGATAACCCTGATATATGAAAATAACCGCAAAATAATCACCACTCAACACGATCAAAGTTCACAATTACATTTTCTGGCACGGCATCAGAGGCCTAATCCGATTTCTTTTTACCCTTTTTCGCCATAGAGAGATACTTGTGATGATGTCAAAATGATTGTCATTCAGGACCATCAAAGTTCATAGATACTCGCCAATTGAATTTTAGAAAAACATCCACTCAAAAGATTTTGGAAAAAAAATATAAATTCATCCATTTTCGGCAATCTTATTATGATATGTTTGTTATGAGGTGAGCTCAGCTATATCACAATCATCATCGCTTCCAACTAATCCTTAGATAAACATCTTTTAGAGCACGCTAGTATTGAAAACTTTCGATCCCCACTGGAACTGTGTGGATGCAAAAGAAGATGAAGATTCTGGATGTCAAGGCACCGTTCAGCTTAAATTAACCCTTGAAATAGTGTACAAAAAACAAAAACAAAAAAAAAGATAATTGGAAAATAAGAGACAAAAAAAAAAATGTACTCATTATTCGTCGGCCCAAGCTCCAATTATTTGCAACATCGTCCATGATTGGAGGTCCACTAGCACTAACAACGCGCCCCATTGCGTCATTCACTACGACTTCATGACTAATCTACACAATTTTTATTGACCAATGAGTTTGTTGTTGGGTATATTTAGGGATATATTCACTAGAAGTCCTAAAACTTATCACAAAAATACAATTAAGCCCCAAAACTTTTAAAAAGTGCAATCAAGTCTAAAAATTTATCAACTTAATTCAATCGAGTCATAAAATTAACACTATCTAACTTACTAACGAAAAATGCTGACGTGGCTTTTTTTATTATTTTTCTATCATACGTGGCAATGACATGACTTTTTACTAATATTTTTAATATTAATTTTATTTAAATTAAATTTTAAAAATAAGTTAAATATTAAAAAAAAGGAGGAGCTGAACTCAGGCCGAGAAGGGCTAGAAGCCTTCACTGCCGCCGCCCCACCATCGCCGGGAGGGGCCGGCAAGGGTGGGGGACAGCCGGCAGGGGTCCCTGGGCCTTGGCCAAGGGTTACGAGCCTCACCTAATCTAGAAGAGGGCCACAACCCCTCGCCCCAATCTGGACGAGGGCCTACAGGCCCTCGCCTGCCGTCGACGATGATGGCGACAAGGGGTTGCAACCCTCCCCGCCTGACTTCTTCTCATCCCTTTTTTTATTTTTTATTTTTTATTTTTTAGCTTATTTTAATGAAATTAGTATTAGAAATTAATTTTAGGCCAAAATGACGTCATTTTTTTTCTAATGTATAATAATTTAGCTCTTCATCGCCACATAGGAGAGAGAAATATTAAAATAAGCCACGTCAACACCACGTCAACATTTCTCGATAGTAAATTAGACAGTTTTAATTTTAGGATTCAATTAAACCAATTTGACAAGTTTTAGAACTTGATTGCACTTTTTACAAGATTTAAAACTCAATTGCACTTTCGTGACAAGTATTCAGACTTCTAGTAAGCAAATTCCGTCTACTTATTTCCATAAAAAAAGAAGAGAAGAATCAAATGATTCATTAGGGACGCACAAACGCATTTCCACCTAGCTCTAACGATCAAGTTGGCGTAATAGAAAGTCCTATAATGTTTCGTGGGTGTTGGAAAACAAGATGTGCACCAATAGCGATGATGTGTGGCTACAGGGATTGATGTCGATGCCCATGGCTGTCTTGATTCATTTAGGAGGATATTCATTGATATACTCGAACAACATCAAGGCACCAAAACAGCTGAGATAACATGTGAAGACTAAAACCCACCATTAGAGAGATGTAATCATGCGCTAATAATGCAAGCAAAAACGATACACATATAATGTTTGTGACCATTAGACGCATGAAAAAGTCCGCGCATATGGCAGACTCGGGTGAACTTGATACTGGAGCTCCAATGGTTCAATCGCCTGCCCGCAGCATTGCTGTTTATTTTGCTACAACATCAAATGGGCCAAGCAAGTGAGGAACAACTCAATTCCAGCCGAAAAAAACCTCAAGCCCAGCTGGTAAACAACCTAACCAGCGCTGTTAGAAGGCCAGATCAGTACCCACTTCATTTTAAAACCGATCTGGTCCGGTATGAAAACCGGTGTCATTTGCACGTCAAACCAGATCAATAGGTTCAGTCCCGGTTCTCACGAATGTTGATAAGGTGAATAATCGAACCAGATTACCAGCCAGTTCCCAGTTCAAACCGGTTGAACTGGCCAGTCCAGTCCGGGTATAATACCAGTGCCTATAGACCAAAAGCCACAACTCCTGAACAGAAGCCTGGAGGACTATAAAAAACGTACCAGGAAAAATCAGAAAAGAGAAATGATCGTTGACACATTCACCGACAAATGCATATGATCAAATAGCATAACACAGGTGCAATAAAGAAGGCATAGAAGGCTTCCTTTAAAAATTTCTGAAAGAAGTGATACAGGATGATTGCTCGGACACAAAATGAGCGAATTTATAGCTCTAAGAGGAACCCACCAAGATCCAGCTACTTTTTCCATCAATAACATCTTCCCTTGCTATAATGTACATAAACGTAACTGCAGTTAAAAAATCATAACTATGTAAAAACAATACATTATCAAGTTTCCTGTATATAAAATGCCCTAATATCAAAACAAGAAGAGGGAATAAATAGGTGATATGCTAATTACCTAAAACTGTGAGTTGCTAAGAAAAGCAAGCATGCATCTAGCACCTTGAAATAACTTATCCACTCCCTGCCATACAGAGCATTGAGTCTCCAAAAGGACCTTTGCTTTATTCTGCAACACTGACTGGCGTCTAATTGTCTCCCCATGTATCTTGCAGAACAGAATAAGAGACGTCAGAAGCCACATTACCAACTTTAGGGAAGCAATTATGCTTTTCTCTAAAAAATCAATAGTATATTATCATTCTCATTAATAATAGGCACTGGAGATTCTCGAGGCACTGGACTAAGACTAAGCCAAAAGCTATTGGCAGTCCTTCCTAATATTGCCATCATAATCAGTGATTCGTTCAGCACATTCCTGCAACAGAGATCTATACTTCAAACATGACATGTTGGAAAGATCAATACCTTCAAAAACAACCTGACTAGAGCTTGTACAAACTCAAAATTACTCCGGCACGATATTTCATGTGTAAAGTAATCCATAAGTAATTCAATTGAATGCAACTCTCGTCTCTTGTCAACATCTTGTAGATCATCACCATCAGCGTCATCGTCATCGTCATCTATTATCTGAAGCATCCGAATTTCCAAATCCAAAGTTGAGGGAGATAACCCTTTGACGTAGGCAGTAAAAGGCGAAACTGCAAAATTTCAAATCCAGAAAATGTAGAATTAGCATGGGTGTCTCAGATGACACTTTTGGCGTAGGTGTACATGCTGAGATTTCCATGAGAACCGTCACTTACAGTTTTTGGCCTCTGAACATGAATGAAGCAGTTGCAGAAACTGTGTTGACAGCACTTCAGGTGTTATCTTAGATTTGTCTTCATCAGCTTTCATGTCTCCCTTATCCGACATCTCACTTGGCTTAAATAGTATTTCTCCAGAAAGAGATGGAATAGAGGGCAAAAAGAAAGGAGCTTTCTCAGGTTTCTTGGGAGGCTCGACTGGCTTATTGCGAACCTACAAATTAGAAAAGATGAGCAAAGATAGTCTCCAACAGGTCCCCAATATAATCATAGGACAATCTCACAGAGACCAAAGAAAGCAATGGAGGTAAATGAAACAAATCTTTCATAAAGAAGACTGATAAAGAAAACATGAGAGAGGGGACCTTTATAATGTCTAGATTAATCAAGCTCTGCCACTGGCTCTTCGGCAACAGTGAGAGTGTAACTAGATCTGGAATTTGCTCAAGCAAAGGCTGGAACGAAGGGACATCTTTAGACACTGAATGTCTAATAGTAGGCTCGTTAGCGTCTTCAACTTGAGAATCTTCCACTGATGATACTGATGGCAACTTAACGGTCACAACTTCTTTCCCACTTGCATACAAATTGATATCAGAACCTCCAGAAAACATTGATTGGTTAACCCTGGTCAATCAAAGTCCATCTCTCATCAGTTTGTCTAGATACAAAAGAATGCATAATCGCCTTAATATAATTAGTCTCTAGAAACTATCATTCCAAAATAAATACTTGAACCAATGCGACTTCAAACAATGAACATGAGTATATGACTAATTGAAAAATTAGAGATGCACTATCAACTTACCAGAGATAGACCCCATTTTGATCAACATGTGTTGTGGCCAAAATATCCATATTTGGTGACAGAGATAACGCTGTGATGGAGACATCAACATATACTGCATCTACTTGTCTAGCTAAAATAATATCCCAAATCCTTAGACTGCCATCCATACTGGAAGATAAGAGCCATTTCCCATCCTCACTAAAGCACAAATCTGTAATTCGATCTGTATGACCTTCAAACTTTCGGACCATTCTTAGGGCAACAGCATCAAAAAGACGAATAATAAAATCATCTGCAACCGTAGCCAAAAGACCTGCAAGATTTATCAAGATAAAGTAGACCATTACAGTTACAAGGATAATAGAAGTTCTTTCTTTTCGCTATATATAGTTTAAACTTGTGCTAGTGCATATGTAATACTACATGCCTGTGTATAGTGTGACTATCTGAGCATACACAGAAAAGCAATTGCACCCACAGTGAAAGAAGAGAGGGTAAGGGGATGGGCAGTGCTCAGAGCATTAATTACCATTCAGACGATGGTAAGAAATTTTTACCAAAGAAGAACCAATTTCCCATCTAGATTTCAATTCACGTCCCTTGAAATCCCAGACCTGCACTACAAATAATTCCAGGAATCAGATTTACATCTTATTGAAGTTAATCTCTCTAGCACGTCAACAACAACTAAGCCTTATCCACTATTGGGGTAAGCCATACGCATCCATTTTAAGTATGAAAGGAATATTCAAAGCATTTTTTAAAGTATAAAAAAGTATAACTATTGCACCTTTTTAACAATGGAGAAAAAAGAGAGTAAGAGCATCAAGACACCTGAAAATAAGATTTTCCTCATTTTTGACCGTTGACAAAGGTTGATCAATGAAAAGATTTTCTCAATCAACCAAACAACAATCTTCAATTCCAAATGAAACATGTTTTTAGAAATGATGCAAGAGCATAGGATTAAAACATGATACAATTTATCAGATCCAGCAAGTTTACTTTTAGAGTCTTCTTGCATATTTAGGTGAGTTGAAATCCTAGTACAATCGGCTCCACTTTTCCATGCAGTACTCTCATGTATAATGGGTTTTTCACGTTATGGTTGAATACAATCCATCATCTAGAATGTTATTCCTTCTTTCCCTTAGCCTTAAATTCTGGAAGACAGTCTTTCCAACCATTGTTAAGTGCTTTCTGTTTGCTCATTCACTTTTGGCAACTATATCTCTTGTTAGGGTTGTTGCTGCATCAAGAAATCATTTTCCCTAGCTAGCATGAGTTTCTGCTCCATTATACCCACAGCAATTACCCACACGACCACAATTACCATCTCCAGTTGCCGCCACTACCTCTAGCTAGCCTATTGAAGCTTCACATACTGCCAGCCTAAGATATCATTGCCAGTGCTGCCACCAATCTCCAAGTAGGGTGGCTAACTACCATCTTGAAATGCTATCCAAAAAATAAGTTGTATACACCAACTTCAATACATGTCTTAGAATTATTTTCAATTTAATGAAGAAGTTTCCTAATTTAAACATTTTTCCACTGGAGTTTGCATGAAACAGGCACACTCCAAGACCATATAATAGGCATCAATGGAGATTTGAGCATCAAACATAGATATGATTCGATTTTATCATCATGAAAGGCATGCAAAAAGAAAGCAGATATTAGCTGGAGTTGCAAGACCAGCGACATAAAAACCCAACATAACCACCATCATTACATTTTATTAACAGACAATTATATTCGGAGACTATAGCGAATTCAACCTTGCTGTCCAGTCATGTGTGCATGCATGTCAGAAGATCTTCACTTACTACATGCATGCCAGTAGATCTCACTTCCTAAATGCACGCAGGTAGATCTTCACTTACTAAAAGATCAGCAAGAAGGTAGAAAAGCTAAATCATATGCATGAAATTAAAACATAGCTTGGATGTTTTACATGAGCTATAACAAGGAAACTTAAACTAGATAATTTGCCAAGTTCCATGGACAAGTAATAAGGCTTTTGTTTTCCGGTCAAGATTCTAACATCGAAAATCATTTCAGATTTTCAGAAAAATTACAGTGTTGCATCTCTCTCTTGTTTAAGCTTAAACCAACAAACCCTAAGCAAAATCCAGTGAGCAGTAAAGTACATAATGAAAAGGGAAAACTAAGATATGCAACAAGAAGCACTTGAATATATGTCAGGATCAAGTTGGTAGGTCAAAGATGTCACAAATAAGGCTGGACTCGTTTCCGGTTAACAAGAAACAAACAGTTAATGATTTAGTAATTGAAGCAAAATATGTTAGGACAAATTTACAGACCTTAATGTCCCCAGCATAACCAGCACTTATCATGAGAGTATTTGTGGAATCACAAGCCACTCCAACCACTTCACCATCATGGGCACGGTTTGTTCCTTCTAACTGATCTATGTAACTTCCTCGACTTATTCCTGATTGAAGGTTGAATCGCTCGATCCAACCACCTGCTGTTCCCAAAATGGCAAAATTTCCACATGCACTAATCGTGCAAGCCTGTCACAAGATATGCTTGTCAAACACAACTTTGAGATATACTTGCCAAATAAGTAGCAATCATAGAAGTAAGAGAATATTATAATAAATAGTATAGTAACTAACAATTTGCATTCCATGTTTAATAAATCACATTTTTCGTCCTTCAATTTACGCGCTACCACTTTGCCTCCATCGTTCAGCACCATGACGGCAAAAGGCTAAAGATGCTCTTATAACCATATAAATCAATCTGCTAAGGGGAATCTTGTGGTCATGCTAGCATATTTCACTCGCTCACTCCCTCTCTGTGCCTACTCTTTTTTTAATAGGTAAAAGGAGATTTTAATAAAATTAAAGTTTCAAGTACATCAGAACTATACATGGAAAGAAAGATAGAGAAGAAAAGAAAAAATTAAAGGAAAACATCACAAGACTATCTGAAGTCGGAACAACAGTCCAAAGCCGAATAAAAGAATACATCACAAGGTTATGCTCACCAACTCTCTTAGACGCTATAATATCTTATTTTTCTCTCTATTTCTGTATTCTATAAACATCATCAACTATCAAGAATGTATGATTAAAGTGTGAAGCATAGTTTAATAGATAGACTGATTAAAACCATACCTATTTCAAGAAGGAAAAACAAATTTTTCCAAACTCAGGATGGAAAACTGATGATGTGAACTCAGGGTTCTAAAACTGATGATGTGAACTCAGGTTTCTAAAGCGTAGTTTTCCCAAAACTAATACAGCTTCTACATCAAGTATTTTATCCCAGTGGGTAATACTTCCGGCTAAGGAGCTGAATGTTTCATATAATGCTAAAGCTGTCCTGTGTAAAAAATCAGAACTTATACCTTAACAGGTGTGGGGTTGTCAGGGCATGGTCTCAGAATATGCTCCCCTATGACAAAATTTTGAAGTCTCCACACATATGCCTGTGGAGTATCCATATGACTTGTCACTACGTTGCACCAGTCCCGCTCCCTAATTTCAGCTGAAATTCAAGCATAATGTGCAGGGGCGGAAATCAATATACAATATACGAACAGCTCAGAAAAGATGTGCTCGACACATGTAATGTACATTTCTGTGATTTCATGCTCATCCAAACAAGAAGTTGTCTATGTTTGACCACAGAAAAACCCTACGGTTGACATACAATAAATTTTAAAAGCGACCTGTGATTAAGGAATAGTTACAATTTTATTTGTCCATCTGTAATGGAAATCACGTTAGTAGGAATATTATTTTGGTTTCGACTCAGGAGCACTACCAAAGTGTTTCTTATTCCACAACAACGAAAGCACTTTTTCACCCTAGCACCTCCTCAGAATTACTGCATCTCAAATAAAACAGATTCCTCTTCTAATTTTCTGCATCTTCTCCACCACTTTTTAGAAATCTGCCCCTTGTTTGTTTCCATTGCAAACTTCAGATTGCCACATCTTTGCTTAGAGGATGAGCAAATTGACATTAGAAAAGGTTTTCCCCTTCAAATTCACATTGAAAGACACATGATTGTAGGGATGTGGCCTTAAAAGGCCCAACATACCAGTTTCAAAAGCCTAGGCATTATAGAATCATGTTTTACAAGAGACCATATTTTAACCTTGACTAAAATGCTAGAATGGATAGGTCGAATCATCAAACCAATTATTATTAATTGCTCATTCACTGGTGATTCTGAATTGCATGTAAGTTCCTAGCACAAAAATCCTTACCAACATCAAATGCTATAACAGGCTTCAGCTTTATCTCTTCTTCCTGCAATGTAAGCCAACCAAAGATATCAACATTTAAGAGAGACAAAGCATGGATATCAATTAGAATGGCACTTAAGTACTTAATAACAGAACTTGAAAAATCATGAAAAATTTGTTTTCAACTGAGTATGTAGACAAAGTTCAAAGGATAATGAGATTAAAGTCAAGAGTGCTCGGGATAAGCTTAATATTGTTTTAGCATGGAGACAGATAGAATTCAAAATGAAGGTATTAAAAATGAAGAAACAGGAAGATGACCAAAAAAGTTCGGCAAACTCAACCTGATCTTTACACATTATATGCAGACTAAATAGGTTTATCAAGAGCAAACTCCTGAAGGGAACAAGTCCAGCTCTCCAGCACAAATAAGGGCCCGGCCAACCAAAAGCGCACTTATGACATAAAGATTGCCAACAATTGAAATAATCAAATCATGTTGAAACACACTCCTTGCTAGGGACAAGCTTTGAAACTACTTTCTGCTTGTCAAAAACAGAATATACAATAATAAGTTCATTTGCCATTTTTACAGCTTTTCTCCAACAGATTCATTTCCTAAAAAAAAAATCAGAAGACTATAACTTGTCAATTACAATCATCAAAGATGCAACAGGTAAATGAAACTCCAGACAAGTGAGATAAATTCTTTGTTTTATTTTCTGAAACTACTTCTGACTTGCAATCTGAAATGCTGTGGGAAAAACAATTGAAATTATCGTTCTATGAGCTTAGGGAAGGAAGAGGGTAAAAAAGGTAAGAGATTAAAGAAATAGGAGGAATTGAAGAAGAAGAAACAGAAGCAGGAGGAGGAGGAGGAGGAGGAGGAGGAGAAGGAGGAGAAGGAGAAGAAGAAGAAGAAGGAGGAGGAGGAGGAGGAGGAGGATTCTCTTACAACCAACTCACAAATAAATGTAGGTAAGGGTTGATTGACAGCAGTACCAACCAGGTTACCATCCGGCATGTCATCTATTTGGCTTCAATTGGAAGATACTTTTAACTTGAAATGATAGACAACATGTACTCTCCTGATATTTAGAGAACGGGAAGGCTAGCTCCATGAGCTGGGACTATCCTTCCAGATAAGCATCGTACACATCAGATTTACCACACGTAATAGGCATGTGGTATATCAAACCAGTTAAGCTAGGAATTTTTATCCAAATTAAAACAGGAAGGTGGATAATCTCCAAGCAAGCAAACCACTCTTAATAAAGAAGTGATTGATTTGCTCCTCCACATCTACAGTACAACAAATATATAAAATACTTCCGTCCATCCAGAAAGAGCAGCAAAGCAATACACATGACAGGGAAATTGGAATATGCTTGTTCCTAATTGCTGAATATCGAAAGAAATGAGTCTAGAGAAGGAAATGAAACGGACATGTGATGACGTGACTGTCAACATAAACAATACCTTTAACTTCAGTTTTTTTGCTCGCTTGGATACATGACGCTGAGATAGCTCTCGACTTTGCTGATCCTGCTCTTGCAATGGAAACGAACACCAAACAACATATAAGGAAAAGAAAACGGAAAAATCCACACCATGCTATCAGCTATAGAAATTTAATATTCAGTGCAACAATCTTATATATTACTTAAAAGGAACTCAGATTGTTTAGGACTCAGAGAGCTACATAAGGTTTCAACAATTCTGGATAAACTGCAATCCTCAGAGTAACTTGTCTTATATCGCCACAATTATGGGTTCATTTGAACATTTGGAATTACTATTTGGTTTGTTTCGAAGGTGAAATTTGGAGGATGTAAATGACAATATTTGTCAATTTAAGTAAAAAGAGAAGTCCACCCTGAGATGGTAATAAAGATGATTATATCCACGAGAAAAACTGAAGAAAATTTTTAAATAGAATGCAAACAAGTGCCTTTAGCAGTTATCACACTGGCTAGCTACCTTGATGTGTTTGAAAATGTCAAATGAAAAGTTTTAAGATTTTAATCTCTCGTGATGTGATGTTGGGAACTACTACACTTCACTAATTTTTTATTCTCAAACATAGTAAGTGCCCTACAAGCACTGGTTTCCGCTTTGAAGCTTGCTTAAGTCTAGTTTGTTTGCCTCATAGACTATGTAGCACGGACACATTCAGGAGGCCAACGCGTCGGTGTCCAACACGCGACACGTGTCCGACACGCTCCGACAAGCGGTCAACAGGTGTCGGAAATCCGACACGCAGTCAACACGCCTGACACGCTGCCGACACGCGAGTCCAGAATCCTGACACACGATTCCAACACGCACGGGATCAATTTTATAAATTATCAAAAAATTAGGGGTCAAAATGTAAATTTATAAAAAAATAAAAAAAAGAAAAGGGTGAAAGAAAACCCTAGTCTTCCGTTCTCATCTTCACAATGCTTTCACTCGCGCTATGTTCTCCCTTCCCCTCTCGATTCGCGATTTCTCTTCTTCGCTTGAACTAACGACATCCGTTGAGGAGAAGGCCTTCAAGAGGAACACCGATTGCATCTATTTCCTCACCATTTCTCATCTTCTTCCTTCGCATCCTCCAAGCTCCAAAGCCCCGAATCCCCACCCTCAGACCCTGAACCCACCACCACCCTCCTCCATTTCGTGGACCAAGAACCCCTCTAGCAAATAGCTCCTCCTCCTCCTCTCCCTCCCGGCACGAGCCATCATTTTTTTATTATTTATTTTTCCAAGACATGACGTAAATTATAGGCTTTTTATTGTTATTTATTTGTGGATTTAAATCAAATTTAAAAATAATAATTTATTATGTATATATAAAAATATATATTTAATATACGTGTCCTAACATGTCGGAATTCTCTATTTTTTTAGAAATGACGTGTCGCATGTCATGACGTGTTGCGTGTCAGTGTCGGTGCTACATAGCTCGTAGAGCATCTGTCGATTTGACTCATCTAAAGGTGATGCAACCTAAAAGGATATCAGACACTTTGGCTAGAGTGGACAAGATTGACGTTGTAAAGAAAATCTAGCATCAATTCTGCATTTGCTGCGGCATAGCTTAAAAAGGAGCAAGGAATGTCACGGGCACTTGTAGGTACCAAATGGGTGACAACAGAATGGGTGGATAAAATATGCACCCGGTGGAGCTATTGTAAAGGGGAAAAAATCTCTTGACTTCAATGCTTTCTCTATATTACTGATAGGGGTAACAGAAGTGAAAACTAGAGTTCTCAATCACAAAGAGACTATGTTTCTAAGCCACAAGCTTATTCAGCAATCATTATGACTTCTAAGTTCAACCAACATAACAAACATTTGCAGTTTTGCTTAGTTTATCTATGGATTAGCATCTCCATGCTTTCAAAAAGGAATTTGTTGATTATCAAAAACTCTCTTCATTCATCAAAAAACTATTTATTGGCTTCCCGCATCCTGAAAGCTCAAATACTCAAAAACAAGCCAAGATCTATATTATGCATGGAAAGAACATGCACTTTATATTCAATAGTCTGCATAAAATTATCGAAATTTGACCATCACAACCTTTGGAGTCAAATTACTACAAAAATGAACTTACTTGTTTAAAAATTAGGGGTGAGCATGGTTCCAGGGTAGAACCTGGAACCCAAAAACCTGACTAGTGGGAGCCTGTAGATTTCAGGTTCCAAGGTATGCAAGGTAGGTTCAGGTTCCAAAAATTGGGAAACCTGTTTCAACAGGTAGGTTCCAGGTTCTGGTAGGTGGAACCTAGAACCTGAAATCTCAAACAAGTTTTCTGTGTTTTTTTTTTGTCTATGTCTTTGCATGATTCTACGGTATTCCATGGCATTAGATAATAAGTGTATAATCTGGAACCACTAGTTTGAGCTTTCATTTTATGAATTGTTAATGTTTCATATTCTTCGTGTGTCTAAATATAAATTATGGTCAGTGGACTGTAGAAGCAGTGGTGGTCATTAAAGGTGATCACTGCAATTGTTCAATTAATAATAAAGGTGAACAGACCCTGGAATCAACCCCGGAACTTGTGACAGGGTAGGTTTTAGGTTTTAAGGTATGTAGGGTAGGTTTCAGGTTCCAAAAAATGAGAAACCTGTTCCCATGGGTAGGTTCCTGTACGAAACCTGAAACCGCTTACCCCTAATAAAAATCACAGTTGTTTTATAAGTTCTTGAGCATTTTCCGTTAGCAATATAAGAAGACATAAGAAATTGATAAGGAAATTGATGACAGCGGACAGAGCATTCCAAAAACTATTTTCTTGCAATACATATATAAGGTTAAAGTGCTTTTAGTTCCAAATAAACACAAAAGTGAAAAAATGGAAACTAAATCCATCAATGGAGATCATAATCACTATTCATTCAAGGGATTAAAAAAAATGCATTCATTATGGAGGAGAGCAAACATATAAAACCATGTTAAAGTATCCGTAACACTAACAAAAAAAAAGACTGATGTGTGCTTGACACGGACCTGGACAACCGAGAAAAGCCGGAAAGCACGATCCTGACCAGCTGATAGTATATGCCTACCATTAGCATAGAACCTGCAGATATACATCATGATTGGTGATTCCCAGACCAAACAAACTCCGAACAATACATATTTGCAGGCATATCATTCTTCTCTTTTCTGATCCCGAAAAAAATGAAATGGTACAATTATACACAAAAATACTGTACTTCTCTTAAAGTAAACACTAAATAAAACAAGGAAAATTATTACCTTATGCAAAGTGGAGGAGCACTGTGACCACTCCGAAAGCGTAATAGACGAGGATCTCCATCACTTGTGTCGAAAATCCACATCTATATCAAACATAGTGATTTATCGCACAAAAAGAGAAATCAGTACTAATTTCGAGATAACACAACTAGATCTAAAATTCAACCCCCATTATCTAGAGAAAAACTAGGTTCTGCTAGATTATCCACAGATTATCACCAGTGAAAGGTGAAAAGGATTATGCCACTTTTGCACTGCTTATTATTCAATAAGGGCTAGAGCGACCCTACACAGTCAAAGAAGAAGGCCGAATGATTTTCAAAGTTGCCATCTGCTGACCGACCTATAGGGCTAGTTGCAATAAAACACACAAGGTCAAAGTTACCCTAAACAAGACAAGATTGCCAAATGATTTTCTATAGTCTCCTAGGCTGATCTTAGGTGGTTAGGAGCAATTAAACAAACAAACAAACAAAGACTTTTTAGGAAAACAAACTAGCTACCGGCAGACTGCATTTGCAAACTGATGAGCACCAGATCGTATGTCATCGAGAAATATCAGCTCTAAATTCTTTCTATTACATGGGACAAAAAAGAGCTCCGATAACTACGGATATTCATCTGTCTCACTTGAAACTCAAAACATAACAGAATATAGGGAGGAAAATTACTTGCAAGAGGGGAAGCAAAAACAGGCCGACATAGATTTCCCAAGTACTATTTAGATCAATAAAGAGATTTATAAGTCATATTAATCATCCAACATTGCTGGCTTCATTTAACTAGACAACGAAAGTTTTAAATGAATGGTCATGAAAACTACTCTGTGAATCTTACCTTAATTGAGTTATCTGCAGATGAACTCATTAGCACAGGCTCATTAGCAAAGAAGTGGAGAGAAATTATTGAACCGTCATGCGCATCTCTTATGACCGACTGGAGCCTTCTTTTCTCAAGATTCCATATGCTGACAACACCCGATGAACTACCAGAAGCTAGAAGAGGCTGCCCATCTAAAGGAAGAATATAGATGTAAGCACAAACAAACTGCTAAATCCACAGATGAAATCCTTCTAACATATAAGAGCCACGGGAGGTTAAATAATTAATATGGAAGAGTTACTGGAGACGAAATAAAACATGGCCAGTGTAGAAGCACCCTTGAATTAGGAAGATGACCAGATTTATAGCAGAAAATATTTTAATACTTGATGAAGACGGAGAAACAATATGAATGATACCTATGCTGAAAGACAAGGCGGTCACAGAACCTCTCATTGAATGTGAAAATGTAACCAATTCTTCATCATAGCGAATATTGTGAACGTGAATCTTGCCATCAGCACAGCCAACTGCAACAACATCTAAAGCAGGTGATGAAACACAACTGCAAACAGATGAATTCCATCCCTTGAACTCATAGAGCTTTGTCTTAGTGCTTATGTTCCAAAGCTGCAAAGGCCCTTCCTGGCTTCCCAGAATAACCTGTTTACAAGATACATTAAAACTGTTAACATGGCTGTTAAGCATTCACAATTTCTAATACCCGTTTATTTTGCTAAATTACCATCCAGCTTTGGCTTACAAACAAATTGGTTTAGCACTCTCGTAGGCAGCATGCTTGCACTAGTGCAAATTGTCATTAAAATCCAATCAGGATCTTAGGATCTTACCACCCTACAATTCAAAACTTAAGAAACAATCCAGACCTTAAGTAGGGTATCCAGTTACAATCTTTAGAGGGTCGCAATCCAAATTGACAAATATCATAGGATGGTACGATCATATCCATTCTATCATTTAATAGTACAAAATTACACACTCAGACTTCCTTTGAGTTTCGGGTTATGACAAGGATTTTACTTTAAATCAGAGATGGAGATCATATACGTATTTAATGTAAGACTTCTTTGAAGTTTCAATCTCAACAAAGACATAACTAGTGGATTGCACTCAAGTATATAGATTGAGGAATGATAAGAACTTCACGGCAACACTACTTTAAATTTGGTAAACAATCAGTTGATGTCACACAAGTATTCATGTTAAGCATCCCACAGTATTATTTCTAGGATGATAAGAATGCCTATCAGATCCTAATCTGATCATTCAGTTAACCCAGACATTCCTAAGTAGGATGTCGACTTTCATAACAATGCTTGCTACATTTTATTTCCCCTAATTTCTGGGGTACACTCTTTTCTGCTTACCCGGTTCTTGTCATTTTCACATCCCCAGATCTAGACAGACTAGTCATGTTCAAAATGTTGAGCTGCTGACATGTGGACCATGCTGCTTTCAACACCACAAACTCCTCTTATCAATCTATATTACAGAATTTAGTCAATATAGCTAGGGTAAAATGTGTGAAAATATTCTAACCAGAATAGTCCATAGCCCTTCAAGGTTGGACCCCTGAATACTTCTTCCCCTTAACAGCTTAATTTTTTCAAATAACGATTCGAAAGTTAGTGACCTTTGGCTGGATCTTGCTATCAAGAGCTAATTACAGATGCATAAATCTATTATCTTTAAATACAATATAGTATTGCATTCTTAAGTAACCAACATGTCTACTTTTTATAAATTTAAAAAAAGTAATTGATAAAAGGATTGTACCGTATCGAGACTATGGCCAACTAGCACAGATAATTAGAAATCTACTCATTTTCATGATGGATATTGAACTTTTCCATCAATTGTTGATACCGAGCAGTAATTGCTGGTATAAAACAAAGCAAACAATACGTAATTTCGCAGTTTGCGTCTATTGTTGCTTTGTTTTTCAGCTTATCTGTTACTTTGCTCAAATCTTTTATACTGGAAACAAATGGAGAAAACTTTCCAAATTAATTACAGGTTCATGAGAAAGGAAAAGGACAAGAAAAAGCCAGTTTTGAACATTGTAGCCATTTTATTTAATAATCTTCTTTCTTCAGCAAGTACGTGCATGCTCAACCACTAATCTCTATCAAATATGAATTGAAAAGTTCTTGAGACAAAGAGGATAATCACCTTGTTTAAGTAAGTGTCTGGATGCATTATACAGCTAGGACTAAAATTGCTATCCAACAAGACATGTCCCACTGGTGAAAGGTTCTCATTCATTCCTTTGAACGCCCATATGTACACATTACCATCAACATCAACACTCAATATGTGCTCTCCAAACAACAGCAGCAAACAAACTTTAGCAGTATGCCTGCTCCAAGTTGCTACCTGTAAGTAAAGCATACAATTAGATAGACAAAATGTTCCTGCATATTATTAAAGAAAAACACAACATATTTTCTGGCAATATCTTTAACTAGCAATTCAGGCATGTGCACTTAGGGTCTCACCACCACATACCAATCTTTAATTAGTAGTTCAAATGTCGTATTGTTTTTTGGGATAAGCCAAACATCATATTCTACTATTACTAATCTGCTTCACAAATAGATATAAACTCTAGCCAGCATTAACCATCAATATGTCTTCATATTGTCTGCATCGGACCGTTCAAGAACATGCATAGAATCTGAGAAAAAAGTTCTTCACATATTGATCGACAAAAATTACCTATATAATGCTAGTCCTATCCCATTCAACTAAAAAATTGCATAAGCCTGGCGAGAAGATAGTGCAACCAAGAAATCTCTTTTCATACAGACATTTAAACCTGTTCCAACTCAAAATACCAGAGTGGGAACATTGACTTTAAGGCCTTTCAAGAAAATGATATCAAGCTGGTAAACAGAGTTGCCTAACAAATTTAAAATGCTTCAAGCGCAGCGGGATAAATTAGAATATAACAAGGAGCCTTCAAAGATAAATGCTAGCCAACGTCCAAGCGCCTGGTTTGGTGGCTAGCGCCTCAGGCATTAGGGAGTGTATGTGCCCTAGAAGCACCTAGCGCATTTAACAACATAGGATATGGCATTGATGGAAGCATATGTCCCTGGATATACACAAGAACACGACACCGCTAGATACAATTATATGCCTACAAAAAAGCCATATGCAACCACATGCACAAAATCAGAACCAGCAAACTCAAAAGCGAATCTCCAAGGCTATGGCTGAACAGAAAATTAATGACATAACTTGACTAAGATGCAGAGCTTATCCAATGAGGTGCATCCATTTCAGGAAAAGCAGGTCACATTTGATCAATTCTGAAGGCTAGGAAGTTTAAAAGATATTGTCTTCCATCAACACCTACTGCTAACAAAATTGAAAATTAACATATTTTACTACACTAATGAACCATCAGACAGTCACACTCTGATAGCCACTACTACAAACACAAAGCTGCAACCAAATAATCGCCACCAAAAGCCCATTGGTTTTTCCCCTTCAAACTTGACTTTGTCCATGATTGCAAATTCCTTATTCATAACATCACTACCACCCTAACCAGCACTACCATTCATAAGCAGTACCATCAATAGTATCCCAAAGCTCACATGCCATAGGCACACCAAGAAAAACCAAGAATCACGAATCTATTATCTTGTCACCGTTGATCACTTGTCAACAAAACAAAGACTAACACACTGGAAACATATGAGTTCCACTAGCTAGACAACCTACCAAATGACACCAATTAATAAACATCTTCCAGCAATGTACAAAGGCAAAACACTTTATAAGAGAGTTTTGGTCATAGCATATCTCATATCACAACTATTCCTTAGACAATGAAAGTGGAGATCCTTCCATTTGTTTAGTCACAAATCTACACAGTTGAATTCCTTTACTACTCATGTTAAAGATTTTGTCACATCTATCATTACCTTCATCATGATTAATAACTTGTTGATGATTTATAACTTTGGAAGGAAAATGAAAATGGTTGCCCCAACCTAACATCACATTGCAATGTAGGAGAACACCATAAATAATCCATTATTTGGAATCTCTTCTATCAAGCAGTTCAATGACAAACCTGGTGAGCACGCTTAAATACACCAACGTCACTTCCATAAGCAGCAAAAGTATATTCTCGATAGGATGCGAGAGCCCGTATTTTCTTTGGCAATTGGGGACCTTCACAAAAAATGTTCGTCTACTTGTTACTCGACTAAAGAAAGTGCCAGAAAACAAAAAGCAACAAGAAGTAAAGGAATTCCCTATTTATTTAAGGGAGAGAAACCCCATTAGATAGCATGATCAAGCACATTATTGACAACCCAGCCCATGAAACTGTCATTACAAAATATTTCAAGCAGTTATACTTTCCAAACGGGCACTGCTAATTAGCTCTTTCCCTTCCAAACAGAAAAAAGAGATTGTGAATACCGACGTAAAAACAACTCGAAAACCGCCCAAATCAGAAATGTAAAAAGGCATTCAAGTAGCTCAAAAAATGCCGTGCCTATGCCATTTCCCAATGTACTTGACCCTAAGGGCGAAAAGAAAAAAATACGTCTTTTGCCACCACAAATGAAACGAATTGGAGCGCAGAGGCAGAGACAGCAAAACAGAGGCCAAGATGGTCATCTGCCCCAAGCGCACACCCTTGGTTTATGTACTCACCAACAAGCACCAAGCTCAGCTTCGCGCACTGCAAGCATCAAAGGCAACGAGTCAAATCGAAAGGCGATGCCGGCCGATCTCAAAAAAAAAAAAGAAGAAAAAAAGCACGAAGCCGCGAGAACGCCGCGCGAGAGGCGGGCGCGGCCTTACGTTGTACACTTGGAAAGCCTTGCCGACGGCGACGGCGACGAAGGTCTCGGTGCCGAGGCGCTGGACGGAGAAGGGGACGCCGGCGGTGATGTATCCGATCGCTCTGTACGGTTCGAATATCCCCATAGCTTCCGCGGCGAGACAGGAAGCGCGCCGACGAGAGGCGTTGGCCGGAGGATTCGAATTCGGAACGTTGCGACGAGTCCCGGTGGGGAGGGGGTGAGGGGGGGGCGAGGGTTTAGGGTTTTAGGCAATCCAGTAGTGGGACTACTGGACGGTGCTGATTTCAGGCCGATTTTTTTGTGTTCGGACTTTGGGTGCCGACTGGCGTGTCCCATTCTTGCTTCTTTATTTTTTTTTTTAAGGACTAGTACTGCCCAAAAAACAACCCAACTGGAACATTTGTTAAAACTTACCCCAAATTAATTTTTTGACTACAAAAAACTCTATATTAGCATACCTGTGACAAATTTATCCTCCCTTAATTTTCATTAAATTTTACTGTCGAATTACTGAGGTAGATGACACGTGATAGTTGACGGGTGGAGTTTTACCTCCGTTTGTCATAGATGTACCAGTTTGTGATTTTTCGTGATATTAATCCAATTTAACGGAAACTAACGGAGGGTAAATTTGTCCCAAATGTACCAGTTTAGGGCTTTTGGTGGTCAAGAAATTAATTTTAGGTAAATTTGTCATAAGTGTATCAATTTGAGGTTTTTCGTGATATTAACTCTTTTTGGAATAGTGCACCCAAAGTTTAACTCAATACAGTTTTTAAATTTTTCTAATAATACAATCTTTTTTCTAAAATTTAATAGATTTGTACAATTAAGTCCTCAGTTAATTTCATCCACTCTGGCAAATAGAAAAGGCCGATGTGTCTTTTTATCATTACTTTTTTTAAATGCACGTAGCCCGGATATGATCGCCAATCAAACGCTACATCGGAAAAAAAAAACTTGAACATTTAAACAGATAAAAGATGTAAAAATTAAAACAAAAAAAAGGATAAAAGGAAAAAGACCAAGAATTAAAAAAAATAAAAAAGATAAAAATACAAGGAAAAATAAAGAAAGGAGACAACTGCTTCGCCGGTGAATGAATTGGGAAATCTCACTAAACTAGAAGTTCCTGATCTTCGTGCACATTGTGTTGATCACGAATTTTCTGATTTTCATGGATTTCATCATGGAGATTCGATGGTTGGTGATAATGAGCATGCTCCAATCTTGCGATTTGCGAGCTCGCGAATTTCCACTGTTCCACAAAATTTGACTTTTTTTCTTTGCACTAGAGGCAATAAGATGTTCGGAATTTCCTTCATCTCTCTAAAACTCCCCTTGAATCTCAGCACCCTCAGTAGCATCTCCTACTGTATCTTCAATTTCATTTCTTTCCTATATCACTTCCGCTAGAGGTGGAGATCTGCTATCTTGAATCTGAGTGTCAATATTGCGAGCATCCAATTGTTCGTTCTCCTTTTCTATTGAATCCTCGGCACCAAAATCTTGTCCTTCAAACTCTGCATCCGGTTCTACACCCTCTTTTTCATAGAGTTCTTCTGCTGGTTCTTTTTCTTCTTCATTCACCGTTTCAGTTTCCTCTCTTCCTTTGCTTCTTTTTCATTTCCATCTCTTACTTTTTCGCCTTCTTCTTTTCCACCCTTCTCTTGTCTTCTTCATCCATTCTTCTCAGATTGGCCTTAAGTGCCTTTTTCTTTTTCCTCAATTGCCTTTTTCTTCTTTAAGGACTATGATGAACCTTCAGTAGATGATTTAGCTTTTCTCCTCCTGGTAGACGTTTGCAAGACTTTAGGCTCAACTGATCTCTTCTCCTGCTTTGCCATCTTTCCTCAATGTTTTTACGCCTCGTTTTGGAGACCATTTTCTCCCCAGCAGTCATTGTAGAAAGACTTTTTGTACTTAAGTTAGGAGGAATGCTAATCTCGAAATAATGAAAAATTCTTGTCACCGAAGAGCCATAAGGTAGTTGGCCTTTGCTCTTGAGTACAATTCTATACATGTGAAGCATAATGGTACGAGGCAAAGAGAAAGAAACCTCATTCACAATAGCTCAAGTCATTTTGGCTTCAAACTTGGACACATCAGTTTTTGAGGCAGCCTTTTGGCCTGAGGCAATTGATGATAATCTTGTGAGTGATAATGTTGTTCACAGGCAAATTGGAATAGGAGATGTGTGTCTTTATTTCCCTTGAAAAATTTAGATCCTCAGTAAGAGATTTGTAAGGATCTTCTGGTGTGATGTTGGTTGGAATAATGGTATAATTCCTCACACCAATAATCTCAGCAAGCTAAGAACTTCCAATTTTCATAAACGTTATCAAACACAGTAAATTGTATCAGGCTTGAAGAAAGAAAAGACAAGTTCGAGTCGAAGAATGCTGTAAGTTCTGGATAAGCAAGGTACGAATGCAAGCAAAAATCTTCCGGTTCCAGTTTCACAAGATGATGCCTAATAGAAATTCTAATACTTTCAAGGAACGGAAAATCCACTGTTCTATGATTCATCACACCTCTAGCCAGAAGTGAGGTGTAATACTCATTGTGCATTTTCGTTCTAAACAGCTTCCCTCTGGGTTTTTCTACGACAACAGCAATTCCCATCTTCCTTATGAAATTTTTATACAATCTCTCATCATCATCTTCTCTTTTCCCTTCCCAATGGGATTCAGAAGCACTCTTAAGACTCTGGAGTTTGAGCAACAATAAAATCCTGTCCAGAAGCAGTCGATTCCCCTACCTTTTCCTTTCCTTTCCAGAAACACCATCTTTCTTGTCCGTTGCAATTCTCGAAAACACAGTTTGAAGCGAGGGAGTTGTGTGGTCGTGAGCTATTTTAGCCTATTTGTTGGCATTTTTATAAATTTCTTCCTAGTATAGAATCCTTCCTATTGTATATCTCCTAATTAGGGTTGTCATATGTCCCATATATATAACAGGATTGAGCATTGTAAATGTACAGAAAATATATTCATTGAATACAAAAAGGAGAGTCTTTTTCTACATGGTATCAGAGCCCTAGGGTTTGATCCTTGGGGTACTGTACGTCAATCATCGACTACGGCGGTCCCGCTCTTCCTCTATTGCGCCGTCCGACGTGCGTCTTACCCGATCTTCTTCATCGCAATTCAGTTTGCAAAGTTGATCTCATGCACTACAAAAAAACTGGATTTTTGCCACGAAAATTTGCGACGAAAAAATTTTCGTTGCAAATTTGCGACAAATTTTCCAACGAAAAGTAAAATTCGTTGGAAATTTCCAACGAACTATATTTCGTCGCAAAATTCGTTGGAAATTTCCAACGAAAAAATTTTCATTGGAAAATTAGTTGGAAATTTCCAACGAAAATAAATTCGTTGGAAAATTCGTTGTAAATTTCCAACGAATTTTTTTCCGTTGGAAATTTCCAACGAATTTTCCAACGAATTACAAAAAACCCGGTACTGTTCGGCATTTTTTATATTCGTTGGAAAATTTATTGGAAATTTCCAACGAATTTTCCAACGAATTTCAATTTTCGGGCAATTATTTCATTGTATACAATTTTCGTTGGAAAATTCGTTGGTAATTTCCAACGAATTTTTTTTCGTTGGAAATTTCCAACAAATTTTCCAACGAACTCCAAAAAACCGTGTACCGTTCGGCATTTTTCATATTCGTTGGAAAATTCGTTGGAAATTTCCAACGAATTTTCCAACAATTTCAATTTTCGGGCAATTATTTCATTGTATACAATTTTCGTTGGAAAATTCGTTGGTAATTTCAACGAATTTTTTTTCGTTGGAAATTTCCAACAAATTTTCCAACGAACTCCAAAAAACCGTGTACCGTTCGGCATTTTTCATATTCGTTGGAAAATTTGTTGGAAATTTCCAACGAATTTTCCAACGAATTTCAATTTTCGGGCAATTATTTCATTGTATACAATTTTCGTTGGAAAATTCGTTGGAAATTTCCAACGAATTTTCCAACGAATTTCAATTTTTGGGCAATTATTTCGTTGTATACAATTTTCGTTGGAAAATTCGTTGGAAATTTCCAACGAAAAAAAATTTGTTGGAAATTTCCAACGAATTTTCCAACGAATTACAAAAAAAAACCGGTACCGTTCGGCATTTTTAAAATTCGTTGGAAAATTCGTTGGAAATTTCCAACGAATTTTCCAACGAATTTCAATTTTCCGGGAAATTATTTCAGTTTATACAATTTTCGTTGGAAAATTCGTTGGAAATTTCCAACGAATTTTTTTTCGTTGGAAATTTCCAACGAATTTTCCAACGAATTTTAATTTTCCGGGCAATTATTTTAGTGTCTCTCTCTCGCTCGCTCCCTCTGCTCCGCCATGGCCGTCTCCTTCATCTCCTTCCCCCAAGCCTCCCTTCTCCGAGTCCCTCTCTCCCTCAACTCGGCTGATTCCATTCGACGCTTGACTCGCTCCCTGTTTCCTCCTCTCTCTCTCTCTCGGTCTCTCCTTCGCCTTCCACCTTCTCCCCGCTGCCTCCCCCGCCGCCCCCCCTCCTCCTCCGATTCGGCTCCGGTGCCATGGACACCAAGATCGGCATCCAGGTCATCCGCGACGTCGGCTCCGTCCCCGAAGGCGTCGCTGCGGCCATCCGGGGCCAGGCCCCTGCGGCGGTCGGCGCTCCCGACGCCACCATGGGCCGCCCCGACGCCTCGTCGCCGCGGCGAGGCCGAGCTCGTCGCCGGCGAGGGCCGAGCTCACCCGGATGCGGGCGAGCTCGAGCTCGCCGGCCATGGCGAGCTCGAGCTCGCCGGCCATGGCGAGCTCGGCCCTCGCCATGGCCGGCGAGGCCGCCACCCATCCCGCCTCACCGCCACCGTCCAACCGACACGATCTCTCTCTTCCTTTCTCGGCGCGTGAGCTGCTTGGAACCGCCGCTCGCCGGTCCGCGGGCCTCGCCGGCCATGGCGAGGGCCGAGCTCGCCATGGCCGGCGAGCTCGGCCGTCGCCGGCGACGAGGCGGCGGCGAGGGCCATTTTTCGGCCAAAAAAAAAAATTTTGAAATTGAAATTTTTCGACCAAAAAAAAAAATTCGATGGAAAAAAACTTTCCACGATTTTTCGATCAAAAAAAAATTTGTAATTTCCAACGAAAAAAAATTCGTCGAAAAAAAAATTCGTTTCCAACGAATTTAGTCACGAGTTTTCC